TTTATTCACCAAGGCGCCCCCGGGGGTTACAAGAAATAGTGGCCACAAGCTAGCAGAGAGCAGATTTAGATTGGACATTAGGAAGAACTTCTTCACAGTTCGAGTGGCCAAGGTCTGGAACGGGCTCCCAAGGGAGGTGGTGCTCTCCCCTACCCTGGGGGTCTTCAAGAGGAGGTTAGATGAGTATCTAGCTGGGGTCATCTAGACACAGCACTCTGTCCTGCTTATGCAGGGGGTCGGACTCGATGATCTATTGAGGTCCCTTCCGACCCTAACATCTATGAAAAAGACAGGCAGCAGGACCCCAGGGTCCAGAGTGGACAGGTGCTAGAGAAGGGGCATCTCCCCTGAGAGAAGCCCTCACGACCCAACACCAAAGGGCAGTGCCCAGGCTCAGCTTAACATGCCTGGGGCTCCAGAAAGGAGATCCCGGGACATGGCCAGCAGATGTGCTCCATCACCCCAACGTGCAAGGATGTTGGGGAAGGGGTGTTTTAAGCACAGATCTCAAACACTGGAAAGGAGACTGGGAATGCACTGCCTCAGCCTAAGATGAGAAACTCTGTGGGTTCAATTTCGGATGGAACGGGGAGTTCGCTGCAGCCAATCCAAGCTGCAAGGGGGCAGTGAGAGGGAGTGCAGCAGAAGGCAGCACATGTGATGGACTCTGGCCACAACGTGGGGGTTCGTTCCACTAGCCTCCTGCAAGAAACACCCTTGGAGCCCTAGTAACTGCACAGGCCCAATACCTAGGTCTGGCATCTCATGGGAGTAGCAGGGAATCTCTCAAGGATTCAGATGTTCATCTTTTAAATCATAGGATCCCAGAGCTGCAGGGCTGGCAGGGAGCTGCGGGGTCACATCCAGTCATGAGAAAGAATCAGCCCTGCCCAAACCAGCCAAGACAAACCCAGGGTGTGACCTCAGAGCCACACGACAGTCACCCCTGACACAGCCCCAAGCATCACCCCCGCCCCTGCCCCCGGGATGCAGGGGGCCACAGCTGCCAACATCCTGCTGCTGCCAGATGACAGGACAAGGAGCAATGGGTTTAATTTGCAGCAAGGAAGGTTTAGGTTGAACATTAGGAAAAAAAACAAACCTCTCTCACGAGGAGGGTGGTGAAGCACTGGAACAGGTTACCCAGAGAGGTGGTGGACTCTCCGTCCTTGGAGGTGTTTAAGGCCTGTCTTGACAAAGCCTTGGCTGAGATGATGTAGCTGGGGCCGGTCCAACTCCATACTCAAAGCAGGACTAGATGTGACCTCCTGAGGTCCTGTCCAACCCTCGTTTTCTATGATTTTATGTCGCTCTCCTATTTCACAGCCCTGCAGACTGTTTTTAGCTCTAGCCAAAAACCTTACCGCGAGTGGTCATATTCACCTGAGTGTAGAAATGACTGACAGTGGAGTACAGGAGGCACTGTCTAGACACTCAAGAAGGCTAGGTTTTGTTTTCTGAATCTGAATAAAAGACAGACATTTAACTGTAGTGACTACAGGACTACTGAAATATCATCTTCAGATTCTTTTTGCCCACCTTCTTGTTTTTTAAACTTTATATATAAACTAATAAATTATTGGAAGGTGTACCAGTTTGCATGTTTTTGCTTTGATCTCACACTGAATAATACTGCTCTGATCTTACACTGAACACCCCTGTGGCATATGAGGAAAGCATCCAGTTTCTGTTTCACTGGAAAAAAATGTTCTATGTGAGGTATCTGCATCCCCCTTTTCAAAACCCTAGATCCACCCATGCCCAGATCCATCAGGAACTGTCTGCAGCACAAACCCAGACCCTGGCAGGGCTTGCAGCTCACACTCCAGGTCAGCGGAGACGGCACAGGGGGAGGGAGCAGCCTGGAGAGACACCGCGGCATGGGACACACGCGCTACTCTCGGTCAGTGTGCCAGGCGGACAGCAGCAGCTTACCTGCTTGCGCAGACGGTTCCCCTTCAGCGCATAGCCCTTGACGTACGATTTCTTCTTCAGGTTCAGGCGCACGAAGTTGCCGCCCTTCCTTGTGGGTGGCCTGGAAAGTGAGCGTGTTGTGAGGAGAGGCCGCGTGCACGGGACTGACTGTATGATTCTATGACTGTACTGGCTACACCCAGGACAGGCCTCACTTCACTGCCCCCAGGACAGGGAAATGCCAGCAGCAAAGCAGGTACTCAACCCTGCCTGCAGCCAGGGTCAGCTCACAGTCTGCTGGTGACATTTGGCATCACACCCCTTCGCAGGCAGAAGCAAAGTGGCAGGGACCAGTAATTCACTGAGGGATCCTCAGGACCTCAAGCAACAGCTGCCCCGGTTTGCAGAAGAGCCAGCTGGGGAATGGGGGAGAAGCAATTACCCCTGCATGCTACCTTCCCTGCACCACCAGGCCCCCGTTAAGCGAACACACAGAGCGCTCCATGCAAGCTGCTGTGAGCGGGGCTTGGAGGATGGAAGGGGACAGGGCAGCGCTGATCTCAGCCTGCTGGCTCCAGCACATCCTGGGGGAAGTATCAAGGGCAGGGGGATTTGGCGTCGTTCATGGCTACCGTGGGAGAACGGTGCAAAGGCAGAGGATGTTGGATGCTGAGGGTGGCTCTAGGCTCCACTGCAGGACCCCGTGGGCTGTGCCCAGGCCACCCTGCTGCAGACAGGAGGGCGAGGGGCGGGGTGGTGGGGGGGGCTGCACAACCCACCTGCTGCCACGGCCTCTGGTGCTGGTTCGGTGAATGCCCTCCCCTTCGATCTCCCCCAGCAGGTTCTCAGTGGGCACCGCGTTGTCTCGACCCTGCTCTGCTCCAGCATCCACAGGCTGTCCGTCCTCGTCGGTGCTCAGCTCCGGCCTGCGGCTGGAGCCCCGCACTCTCCTCCTCACTGGGACAGGGTCATCCCCGGCTGCCACCTTGGCCCGCTTGCGCTTTGGGGCTGCAGCTTTGCCATCAGGGCTCACTGCATCCTGCGGCCTCTTCCTGCTGGTAGCTCTGACCTTCCGGGCCCGACTGGGCACGTCCTGTGGAGAAGGGGCTCTTTCCCCCTCTGCCAGGTCGGTGCCAGCCTCCTCCTTGTCTACTCCCTGCCCAGCACCTGATTCACTGCTCTGCTCCTTTTCAGAGGCAGCAGGGCCAGAGCCCACCTTGCTACTCCCCTGGGGGTCATGTGTGGTCTGCTCATCCTCTGTGCCTGCCCTGCAGCCGTCTTCCCTGCTGTGATCCATGCCAGACCCCCGGCTGCTCCTGATGTCTTGGGAAGGCTCATGCAGTTCCTGATACTTTCTACCCCCCTGCGAGAAGCCTCCAAGAGGTGGGATGTTCTCATTGTCCGGGGGCTGGCTGCTAGCCCCAGGGGCTCGGTGCGGGAAAGGGCTGTGCTGAGGCTGATCTCTGTTTTCGCCCCCAAGGCTGTGAGCACTGTCCTCTTTCAGCCTCTCCTGGATGCCCTGACACCGATCGAGCCAGCCGGGGTCCAGGGAGCCCAGTCGCTGGGCCACGGTCTGCTTCAGCTGCTGGAATTTGTTCACTTGGGAGCTCGGATTCAGCCCTGCGGAGAGGATGGCAGGGGCCAGCCGCGAGAGTGTTGGCGGGAGCAGGAGGGCTTCTGGCTCAACAGGCTCAGAGCTGCTGACACAGTCCCCGCTGCTCTCTGACACAGGTGTCCCAGTGGGCTGCGGGGAGGCCCCTGCAATGCTGACCCCCACGCTCTTCTCCGACCGGGGCACAGCCGGCTTCTGCCAGGGCGTCCAGGGCTTCCGCAAGGTCACAGGGTGCTCCTGGGGCCAGGAAGACATGGTGGTGAGTACTGGCCCTCACCCACCTGGGCACTGCTCTCCCTGCCCCACTCTGGCACATGCAGCCTCCTCTGCCCCAAATGCAAGTGCCTCTTCTCAGGGCAGCTTCCCCTGCACCCAGAATTCAAGAAGCTGCTCCTTGCTGGCTATCAGCACTGCCAGCCAGCCAACCCGCCCCCTGGCACAAAGGCCAACCCCATCCAACACCCTGACACACTGTCAGCCTGCACAGGAGCCACGGTGGGGAAAGGAGCTGTTCACCCTTTGAAAGCCGCAGCCGGACGACAGCCACGCTGGCAGCTCTGGGCAGCACTGCTTTAGTGCACCCGTGGCTCTCAGAGGGGCTGTTTGCTGTGGCAGCTCAGCTCTCAGTAGCTGCTCCCGGCAAGAGCAGAGTGTTTTTCCACAGTTGCCTGCCTCCAGGAACAATCAGCACCACCCAGCCACACTTCAAGCACCTGGCACGGGTGCAAGTCCTGGCAGAACCCAGCCATGGTGAATGAAGCACCCAGGGAGGGATCCTTTCTATGGGCACCAAGATGCAGCCACCCCTGAAGGGGAACACGGCCCTGTTTTAAGGCCACAGCTGGCATGCAATGCTTCCTCATCATGACCCATGACACCCCTGCCTCAGCAACCTGACAGCAGCTCACTTTAGCCACTTCTGCTTTCAGGGCCACTAACAGCCTACCTAAACCCCTTCAGAGCCTGCTAGAGCAGTCCCAGCTCTGTGACCCATCACCTCTTCCCCAGACCCATAGCGGCGCAGCCCCCAGACCTTCAGGGCTGCTCCCAGGTTGGATTTGAGCTTCATCCCGAAGTACTGTGCTGATGCCTGCAGCGTGTTGCGGTCCTGGCGGCTCAGCGTGGGGGCCGTGCGGGCTCGGTTGAGGTGGGCGCCCCAGCAGCCTGAGGAGGGGGGCTAGAACAAAGAGAGAGCGGTTAGTCCCTAGCGCCTCTTCCAGTCCAAGTCAGGGTAATGTGGACGCGGGCCCAGTCACATCCAGAAATGATAGGGCTGAAGGACCAGAGGGCACCTGCACAAGGACATGTCAAATCCCAATAGCCATCAGGTCTTCCCAGTAGGCAACGCAGCCCCATCTGCTCACAGATGGAGACTGACCCATGGCCAGAGGCTGGAGTCAGCCAAGCCGAGCATCCCTGGGTTACCTGCTCCACAGCAGAGGCCTCCTTTGCTGCTGGCGGGCAACCTGCATTGGGTTCGAGGCCTGGCTGCTTTCTGGCTTGCTTTAGGGCTCTGTACTCCCTGTACAACGCTGTGGGAAAACACATTGGTTACAGCTGGGCTTCCAGAGGTAGCTGGGATAGGTACCAGTCTCCAGAAAACCCAGGTAGGGATCTCAGCAGAGAACGGCTATATTCACCGACAACCCGTCCCTCTGAGTCGAACCACTTCTGATCCTGCAGTAACAGCAGGTCATCAAGAGAATCCTCCTAGTTATGCCCCCTACCTGGGATCTCCTGAGCGTATGTATATTAACAACCTTTTACCGCAGCAGGATGGCCTTTCCCCGCGGCAGGTTCAGGTTCAATGTCTCGTGCTGTGTCAGGTAGTTTTACTAAGAGGTTAGGTTATGGATCTGCCTGAGATGGTTTGGACAGAGCTGACCTTGACTAGATGCGACCTTTGCAGGTTCTTTCCAGTCCCACTTCTCTATGACTTCATTATTCATCCATTATTTAATGACTGGAGATGCAGCTCAGAGCAGATGCGGAAATCAATGCAAAACCCTTAACGATAATAGTTAAAGCTTCAAATTCTGAAGCCGTGCCTTTGTTTAACCTGACCCATGACAAATGCTCCTAGGCCAGCAGTTCTCAACCTTTCCAGACTCATGGGTGTCTCAGGAAATGCCAACTCTTAGCTTGCACTTTTTTTTTTTTTTGACTCCAGAAAAATAACACAGCAGTTTCTCTATTGCAACGAACACAGGAAGACCCCAGTTATGGACACGGGAGTGAGGGGCATGGCCTCCGAATCAGAATCTGGATCTTAAATGCTAGAGGCTGCAACGGAGAAAGGAACAGGGGAAAACCCTGGGCATTTCCAGGTTGCTCTCCCTTTCGGCTTTTGCTCTCTGCCACTGTGTGACACAGGAGACTGACTGGGCAGGATGGAGCCCAAGACATTGCAGCTCTTACATCGTATTTGAAATCTCTGGGCTCATCTTGTGACTCCTGTTTGCATGCCTAACATTGTTAACACTGTGGCACCCTCTCTGAGGAGATCTCAAGGCACCTAAGGCACTTGGTTGAGAATCACTGCCCTAGAAGTTCAGTGGACAACCTGTGTGCAGCGTCTGAGGTCTTAAGGATTTAGTCTGCCAGCAGGAAGCCATTTCCCTGCTCACACGTGCCCTGAATACACATCATCCACATGCCTTAAGGGCTCTGTCCTGCAAGGTGCCCTCAACTCCCACACGCTTCAAGGGCAGGGGCAGTGAAAGCCAGCTGGCAAAGATGTGGGTGATGGGAGCCCAGCCCCTTCCACAACAGGGTCCTTACCCCACCCCGTCCCACCGTGCCCCAAGAGGATTCACATCGGTTCCCCCTGGCCTGCGAGCAAGCTCCCACCCTTTCTGCACATGCCACATGCTTGGTTTGGAGCTTGTCCCCGCACCTTAATGGTCTGGGATGGGGAAGTCCCCAAGCCACGAGCCTTCCCCATTCCCAAACCCTCCCCAGCAAGGAGACAGATGAGCAAAGGCTGAACCAGCTCGAGCAGCAGATGAAAACCTATCGCCTTCTCTCCCCTTTCCAGATGCCCATAGTCTAAACGACTGTTTTGACCTTGTCAACACAGAGCAATGCACCACCCACCCGAAGATCCCAGAGCCTTGGGCATAAATTAACATGAGATTTCCTCTGCACGACATGGCAAGTGGCCCTACAGGCAGACCCCATTAGTGACCCCCTCCCCCCCCC